TGAGAGAAAGAAAAATTAAGGAAATCAAGATGCATTTTCCAGCGATTTTGATTCAGAGAACCTACCTCTCTGTGTGGATCCACAATAACAAGATGCGAATCGATGAGATCTACGAGCAACAGAAGAATTGCAGAAAACTGTACCAGTAAGAAGAAGCAATCCCTGAGCGAATTCGAAAACGGAGAATCGCTCACTTAGGGTTTTCGAATTCGCTCACAGATTTACTCACCATAACAAGCAACGAATCGAGGAGATCTATGAGCAACAGAAGAATTGCGGGAAACTGTACGGGCAATGGAGCTTGATTTCGACGGAAAATGGATTTGGGGAAGTTAGCTGCGTCGCGTACAGTTCAACCCACAGGGGATCTGTTTCCGCGTCCAAATAAATGATGCACGGAGATCCATGTCGATATTGGGCAGATGTTTCACCCCAGAGCCCAAATATATAAAAATTGGGTTTTATTGACCCAAAAGAGAGCCCCTTGTTAGGTCTCTAAGTAACTAATTAAGCCTTTGAGGAAAGTTAAAATTTCGACTTTAAAAAAGGTTCAATAATTCACCCGCAAATTTGTAGTTTGGGGGAAAAAAAAAAAAAGAAGAGAAATCGATTATTCAATCTTAATCTTATCTTATGATAAAATCTCACAATAGTCAATTATATAACAATTAAATAAATTAATGCGTGCGTATTAATTTATATAAAAAATGTATTTTATATCTAATTTTATATTAAAAGTGTAATTTAAGTATTGAAATTATTAAAATATATTTAATAAAATTATTATTTTATTGATAATAGTTTAATAATTTTAATATTCAGATTGAACTATTGTGCAATTCAACTTGAAAAACATGAAATTCAATTCATATACTCAATTGAATAAACCAAGTCAATAATAACATGTAAAATTAAGAGATCTTATTGTTAGATATTATCAGGGTGAATTATTTTCAAAAAAATTTAATTGAGATTTTTAGGATGAATGATAAATATAAAAAATAATTTTTTAACATTCATTTTTACATTCTGACATAGTATATTCACATATTTATATGACCTTTATATCACATAATTCTAATATGACTTCTAATTTTTATTAGTCCTTTTAACAAGACATGTGATATTATTATATAAGAATATGGTAAAATTTTGTTATAAAATATTAAAATAAAATTAAAACAAGATAAAGGACAGTTATGTAAACATATTATATCAAACTTTCAAAAACGAAGGTAAAATATATCAAAAAATTCATTACCGGAATATACAATACACCAACTATACTTAGATATTCAAGAATGATGTGTACGTAGTAGAAGCTTGACCTTATTAGCTAAACCAACCACCGCATCCAACCGCATAAATGCTCGCCATTCAATTAATGTCTTAGATACGATATCTTCAGTATTTACACCCATTTCAACTTTCAGCTTTTAATTTGCTTCCACACTTTAAGAAATTTCAATCCTCGTCATTTTTGTTTTTTTCTCAATTTTATCCTCTGCTGGCTCTGTTCTTATCGCGAAACCGACTAGCTAGTTATACGTATATATAATTAATTGCAGTGGATGAAAAATCAGTTGATAATTTTAAGGTTAAATTCTCATTTTTGGT